GACTATTCTTAAATAGATCTAGTCCTTCTAATGTTAGTCGACTTTGATTCCATTAGATAATGTCCCAAAGCCTGCGTATAGCTTGTCCATGCTAATCTCTTCTGAATAGTGGTTAATCACAATTGATTCTTGGTTTCCCATTAACGTTTGGGCAGCAGAGCAATAAACTTCCAGAATAATATCTTTCACTCTTTAATCGCTGGTTAACTTGAAACTAACCCTCTCTTATTTTACATCTTTTCAAATGTCTGAAGGATAAAGTGCAAAGAAATTTATAACTATTGCATAGATGTCCCTGAGGAGTGTCCTCTTCAAAACAAAGGGTTATGAGATTTTATTTAACTTTAGGAATTTCATATTCTAAGAAGAAGAAACACCAGCTAACGATATGTTATTCGTTTTCTTCACATGACCTGCAGCATGCAGAGAGTTTGAATTTCTGCTTGAAATCAATATTTCATCACCTACATTTCGACCTCCATTAATCCTTCACAATTGCAGAGATAGGTGAAGTAAAAGGATTAATGACAACTTTATACATTGATCGTAGTGCTATCCTTAACGCCTTAAATGGGCAGCATCGTCATGGCCGTGCACCTTGAGCTCTTCCTTTCTTGACAGAAAATTCAAGATTTTTTGGCTTTGCTCGAAGAATCGGTAATCAGCACACAGCAAAATAATAATCTTCGCTATAAAGCAATGAAAGATCTGCGACAACCTTTAGGATTGGAAGAAAAGCTGCTCTCGAGGCGTCGAATAATCACAAAAGATCTAGAGTTGTTTGGCTTCCCAACAGATAAACTTTGTTTTAACTTCTTTTTAGCTAAAAAAAAGGTGAAATAATACTTCCTTTACATGAATCGTCTTCATTGTTTGAAGGTTTCACATTTGCTCTTTTTGATAATTTGAGAGATTTTTAGTCTGGATGATTACTGAAAGTGAGCCAAAACTTTGATAGAAAGGAATCTCAAGCAATGTTTTTTATGGAATCTTGCAGAGGGTAAATATGCAGATCGAGTCGCCGTAAGCAAGCAGCGAGGCCTTATTGATTATTAAAATGACCTACACGAGAAGAGAAGAGGAGGGGGCGGGGGGGCGTTGTTTGGCATGATTTTCGCCGTTGTTTTCTGATCTCTTGTTGATGTTTTTAAGTTAGACATTGGGCGTTTTCGAGCTCTGCAGAGGAAAGAGGCGAGTTTTAGTCAAATATGGTTGATTTCGTATATTTTAGTGTTTGCTGATTCCAGCGAAGTCCATGGTTCAATATTGACTTGAACATGAACTTTCTACTTCTTTTAACTGAATCTATTTGCATTTCTGTTTCCAGAAAGTTGAAGGTTGTAAGATATCACAATGGCAAAAGTAACCAAACACCAATTCCCCAGAAATCTTGATCACATGAATGTAGCATGGATTACACACCCTTCTCCTCGCGTGGAAGGGAACCCGTAAGTCGTCTAGACAACAAATACGTCTGGCCGTATCGTTCACTACTCCTCAAAAATTATTTGCAAGCCGCGACGCTGCCGCTCGCATTCGTATTAGCAAAACCGGCCACTGATGTGCATAGCAGCTGCTGCAAAACACTCGTCAATAGTAACAAGTTTACAGTTGTAAGGTGTAAGGTTCAGCTGATTGGTGTGTGTTGGACGTGTTTTTGATGCAAATCGTTTTAATCTATTCCTTATCAAAGGTTTCCTCTCGTTTATTGTGCGAATAAGCGGTTTATTGTTTGCCTATTGTCAGTTGTTCAAATTGTTGCGCTTCATAGATAACGGGGTTTCAAATTGTACTAATAGAACTTCTTTTCAGCAGAAAGCTCACAAAGTATAAACCCACTCTCTTTGTTACTATAATCTACTGTTCCTTTAACTCTTTTACCTTTTTTGCACTTTTTTTTTCTCATATCATTGAAGAAGTTGTTTTCTTTTGGTACATGTTATCCCTTCATACAACTTCGTTTCTTGAATCTTTATCATCAAGATCGTAAAGTTTTTTTCCGTTTTATTTCCTTCTCTCATGTCATTGCTAGTTTCGTTCGATGCTATGGATTTCGCAAGACCTTCTGTTATTGACAGTCTTCACGTAAACAGCACCGATATTTTAGAGGTACCAAGGAACGTTGTTTTCGGATTTTTCAACTCATTACCTTATCCCTGCCGTTTTAATTGTGGAATTGAACATCCAGCCTTATACCTATTCAGAGAAAACATTGGACTTCTTCTTAAATCTCAAAATCAATCGTAAACTCATTATGAATTTCTCAAAAACCAGTGTAGCAGTTCTCCTCATGCTCATCTGTAAAGATTGTGATTGGGCTTTTACATTTATCTGTAAGTTCGTCAATCCCCTAATGAATGTGCACGACATCTACTTTACTTTTTCTTAGATTTTTTTCTTCTCCATGTTGCTGTAATGGGCAAAACCATTGCCATCGTTTTCTTGATAAGAGAAACATCAGAAGTGCAACTTCGATGTATTTTAAATGATTATTTAAGTTAGGACGAGTACTCATTACTTGCCTAATTGCCAACAATTGTTCAAATCACTGCCTTAAAACTTCTAGATCTACCTCGTTTAATATTCTCTCTATCACTAAGCCTAATACTCGCTTGTTTACAATTTTGATATGTACAATCACATCATTTATCGATGCCAAAAATCTGTGTAATCAATCCGAAGCTGTCCAAACAAGTTAAGAGTTGTAACGATAATGTAATAAACGATAGCAAACAAACAACCGCGTGATTTTTCTATTCAAGAATTGCTTATTGTTGCCGTTTATGTTGCGAAATCCACCATTAACGTTTAAAATTTCCTTTTTATGAAGTATCCCCATTGTCTCATTTAGAACCAATGGTGATGGAAATAGAAATTCGACCTTCATCTCCTTTACCGGAGCGACCATTCCAGAGACCATTTCGTATTGGAGATGCTGACACCGTTGAACGAGTTAAAGAGGTGAATTTAGAGCGATTACATTTCTATTTCTAGGAAATTTGGATGAACAGAATTTGTTCTTATGTGGTGTTTGTTCCATTGAATCGTGCTTACGTTGTAATCGAACGTGCCACATGTCTGTGCAAAACAACAGCAAAGTCAGAACCATGGGAGAAAATAGATAACCCTTCAGATCGGACTTCATCCACTGTCTCTTAAATAAATTTTGATGAGAATGAGAAAGAGTGTTTGATCAGAAATGACAGAGTGTAAACAAAATTGCGCCATTGAGTAAATAAAGAAAGAACTTCATTCTCTGGTGACGTTTTAGGTAACTTTACAGCGCATACAATTTATTGTATTTCGCTGATATAATGAAATTAGTGCACCTCATGACAGTCAATGTATTGCTGATATAATGGAAGTAGTGCACTCGTGATCGAATATTCGTAACGCTCCACCTGCGAACGGATTTTGGATCTCTTTCCATTGCTTTTTTTTTAAAGGCCCTGAGTTGTACCTGTTCTGCACCTGGCGCAAATACCTTAGTTTGGTGTAAAACAGCCAGCATGAGTTGGCTCTTTGTACCATATAATCCCATCAAACATGTTGCCAGCATAATTAAAATCGTTTCGGGTCAATACTAATAATGCCCCACGCCGGCGCTAAAGCAATAAAAAATTTGCACCTCAATCCTGCCTAGATGAAAAGAAATGGAAGACTGATTAGATGGAAATCTTAGTTCAAG